TAAATTTGAAAGCCCCATTGTGAATAGTCAGTATTAACAGCTACAGGTATATTTGCATGGACTCAATTAAAATACTGAAAATATCACCGAGGAACCACATAAAGGTACTGAAAAGCAGACTCAATCATTAATTTGTGTGTGTGTGTGTGTGTGTGTGTGTGTGAGCACTGGTGTTTGAACTCAGGACCTCACACTTGCTAAGCAGTGCCCTACCACTTGAGCCACTCCGACAGCCTCAGTCATAAATTTTTAACTGTTAAAAACTTTGAAATCACTGAGCACTGGTGGCTCACACCTGTGATCCTAGCTACCCAGGAGGGAGAGATCAGGAGGCTCATGGCTCAAAGCCAGCCCAGGAAGAGTTTGAGAGACCCTATCTCGAAAATACCTAACACAAAAAGGGCTGGTGGAATGTCTCAAGGTGTAGGCCTTGAGTTCAAGCCCCAGAACGACACACACACACACACACACACACACACACACACACACAATAGTCATCCAGTCTAATTCAAAACTTCACAAATGAGTCCCAGAGAACATGTGCATAAGGATCTGAAGCCAGCCATCAATAGACCCTCCCTCTCCTGTTTTCCAGTTCTATTTAACTTTATGTCATATGGAATTGTACAGTAATGTTTTCAGGAATTTAACATGTTATAAACTGAAGCTAGAATAGTTAGTTACAGAGTCACCACTGATTATGTAACACCTCTCCGATTTAGCTTTTCCTTATTCCACTGACCAAATTGACCTCTAAGAAATCCTCCTTGCTGGCTTACAAGATCAACCAAGTTGGTATCATTTCTCAATAAGTGTCTTGTTAATTTTCACATTCTGACCTTTTCTCTCAGCATTTCTCCTTGTCTAGGAGCACTCTGAACTCTCTTCACACACTCTATGGCACATCTCCTCCAAAAAGGCTTCTTTGATTACTCCCTTTCCTATTAAGATTTATCTTACATTGATTTGTACAGTGACTATGTTCAATTTCCTTTCCATAAATTTATTTGCTGATTATTTATTATAGCCCCAAGGTACAGGATCAGTCATTTCTATTTGGTTTTATTTTTCATGATATCTAACACAATGCTGGTCCAAAGAGCACAATGTATTTATTAAAGGAATAAACTATATTTAATTAGTGTGGCTATGAAAGGGACATGCCATTCTTAGTAGAAAATGAGATAAGTAAAGGTAACTTTCATTTTTGCCAAGTGATTCTGCTTTCTCAAAAACTGAGTTACATACTTGAGAGTATACCAAACAACTAATTCAGTGGTTGATCTTTTATCAAAATATTGGTTCAGTGGTTTTAAATCCTGGCTGCTTGTCCAAATCAACTAGGAAGCTTTTAAAATGAGCAATACCCACGCCTCACCACAGAGCAGCTGGGTCAGAATCTTCACAAGATGCCGAAGTGATGATTCGCACATATTATAGGATGGCCAGTTGAGCTACACAACCTCTCATTTATTGATACAATTTTCTAAAGAATGAGCATGTTTAAGTGTGGGGTTTTTGTGGTTTTTTTAGAATTGCAAAATATTAGGATTGAGAACTAGAATAATATCTGGGTCAATCCCTCCATTTTGGCTAAGGACACTGGTTTAAGAGTGAGTAGCCCCACAGAGAGAGGTGGTAGTTGCCAGTGGACAGGCCATATAATGAATTAATGGAATTCTCTGAACTCCAGTTCTACAGCTGCAGTCACTGGATTGAGCTGTTTAGTTTCTAAATTTCTGCTTCTAAGGAAAATGTACAAAAACATTGCATGTTGGATTTTGAAAGCTGTTAGCACCAGGTACTCTTTAAAGACCTTCAATTTGACACATTCCAATTAATCCACTATCATGGCAAAAGGAAATACCACAACAGGCTATATCAAAGTCCAAAATAAATGACTAGTATCTATCTGCAGGCTTTTTCATTGGCCCTAACCTGAAAGTCCATAAAAGTTTGTTATCAGAGCCCAGAGCACTTCAAACCCTGAACTATACCACTTAATAACAGCAGACTTATTTGCTCAGAGCAACCTAATTGACACCCGAACTTCCCTTTTCTCTATAAAAGATAATGCCTTGCCCTATTGACTTACATTTTCAGCTGTTAGAAAGGTTAAATTAGATAATATATGTGGATATATTTTGGAAATAGTAAAGCATTATCTGTATATATGTATAGAGTTATTATATTACTACCAGAGTAATCACTTGCAAATAAGTATGTGCTCTAAATTCTAATCCCTTAGTACCAGGCCACTACAAATCAATAGGAACTGGACTTAACGCTAGACTAGAGTCTCTACTCACTAAAAGTCTCACAGAACTAATATTTAGGGAAGCAAAGTGATGTAGTAGCTAGTTGAGGCTTTAGTCCCAGAATCTGCTTTTATTTATTGACTTTGGACAAGTCACTTAATTTTTCTGGGACCAGAGTCTCATCAGTGGTCAAAGAACAACTTGAGTTAGTCAAAGATCCACTGATTTATAAAATCAAAATATTAACACTTAATTAAAATTATTAAAGAACAATTTTATAAGCCATTAATTCATGCAGCCTCATGTTTTTCCATATCTTTTTAAAAGTACAGAATTGGAGCCCAAAATATAGCCTATTTCTGAAAAACAAGACATTTCAAAGACTGTCTTTAAAGAAACATCTTTACTGTGATACTTCATGTTTTGTACACTTTATCCTTTCCAGAAGACTTTAGCTCCAAAAATAAATATATGACTACCCAGGAAGCACTTAATACAGTACTGGGCACAAAGTAGGCACCCAAACACCTTGTTAACAGCTCTCAGTTTGAGTTCCAGACTATGTTAATTCACCTGTTTTGCTATCTATACAGTGGGGAAAAAAAAACCCTTTGTCAACAGTCCATTAAAATCATGTATATTAAAATGTTTTGTAAACTATTAAACACAATTGCAAGATATTACTATTACCTTAGTATTGTTGCTTACTAAAGGACCCTTCTAAGAAGTGTCCTTTTTCAAGACATGGTTCAAAATCTTTCTTACTTTCTTACTTTATTACATATGCAGCACCTACCCAACTAGTTTGGATCTCGAATGTTCACCAAAGGCTCACGTGTTAAAGACTTGGTCCCCAGCCCATGATGTTATTGGAAGGTGTTGGACCTTTAAGAAGTGAGACCCAGCGAAGGAAAACATGTCTTTAGGGGTATGCCCTTAAAGGGGATATTAGGACCCTAACCTGTTTCTGTCTTTTTGCTTTCTAGCTGCCAGGAGGAGCAGTTACCTCTGTCGTGCACTCAGCCATGACTTAACTGCCATGGGCCCTAAAGGCAATGGGGCCAAGCTACCATGGACTGAAACCAGGAGTGTAAATAAATCTTTTCCTTTATAATGGTTATTTTGTTACAGTCATGGAAAGCTGACTAACACACACCCCAATGCTTGGCTCAAAAATCTGCTCAACAAATATTTGCCACATGAAAAGATAATCAACAGAAAAACCAAAAGCTCCATTGGCTCAGTTTCCATGTTTCATCTTTTGAATTCTCAGTGTCAAGCACACTATAGAAGAAGCTCAATTATTAACTGAATAAAGTTTTGCTCCCTCTAGTTCCTTTTCAACCCCACTCAAGAGGGAGAGGCCAGAAGGGGAGGCTTCTAAGATGACTGCATGGGATGAAAAACTTGGACAGTTTTTTTTGGGAATGCATCCATTCCCAAAGGACGAGCAGAAAGAAAACAGGCTCCAAGTTCAAATTCCTTCCAAAATGTTCAATTTTGATTAAATTCTCAAAGACTATTTCCTCCTCTTAAAACGAGAATACAATTGTTCACAGGGTTGCTCACTAGCATGGAAGCGTCTATGAAAACTGGGACTTTCTTTGGGGCCCACTGCGTTGAACAGTCAGGTTCTCAAACATTTGTTGAATGAATTGGTGAGAAATCCGGTGAACACAGGTGAGGCATGGGACAGTGCCACACCTGGAGAACGTGAACCTCCATCATCACCACCACCTCTAACACTTGATCAGTGTTTATGTGCGGTTGGAGAGCAGCCGCCTTCGCGGAAACACTTGGGTTCAAATCTCCACTTCCTCACGAGCTGACCGGGGGACTTAGGCCACTTAACCTGTTCAGGCTCCTTTTGGTCCCACAAGCACCTGTGCCGTGCTCTACGATGCCACCTAACGCAGTACGGGGCTCCGTCAGCGCGAGGGGAGGCAGCGATTAATTAATGAAGGCGAAAGACCTCCGGCTCCCTCCAATCCACAGCATTGCTTCAATGCCCTCATTACTTGAGCTGGGCGCACAACACTACCGCAGCCAAGGGAGGGAGGTAAGAATTCCAGAGACCGACACCGCTAAACGAGGACAGAAGGAATTAAGACAGTGCTTGACAGCTCCCACCAATGTGTGGCCGTTCCACGACTGTCAGCCAGTCGGAGCAGCCACGTCGGGAGTTGGACAGTCAGTGACGAAAGAAACAAAACCCTGGCAGTGCGCGGCTTAGACCCTCCCCCTAACGGTCTGACAGCCGCTGGCCGCGGGCGGTCATCGGACTCTCGTTTCCGGCCCTTACAGGACCACAGTTCCCAGCATGCCCTTGGCGGGAAGTCTTTTCCTGCTGGACGACTACCAAGCCCAACATGCCATTCGGCTCTCCAGTAAATTAGATGGAAGGCTAGGATGACCCCGTTGCATGCAGGGAACTGTAGTCCACTCAGCCGCTAGCTCACAGATTGCCTGGGAAGAGCCGGGATGTTCTCGTCCGCTGAGGAGAATGATTCATAGAGGAGGGTCAGGAGAGAACAGTTCTGCCTGTGAAAGTCCACTCAAAAGACTAGACTCTTCTCCGAGGCTGGGAAGCGGAGGAGAGCAGGCAGAGCCCCGGGCCTGACCCTGCCACGGGCTGCTCACCAGGCCTTTACCCAGTCCTGGGCCTTGTCGGGGGCGGCCGCGAGGAGCCGGTTGCTGGGGGAGCGGTGACGTCGCGGGGTGAAAGTTGAGGGGCGGTGACGTCGGGTCTGCCCGGGCGGAGGCTGGCGGGTTGGAGACTAGAGGGAGGGAGGGAAGGAGGGAAGGAAGGAAGCAAGCTGGGAAGGAGCGAGCGAGCGGGGGCGCGAGGCGTTTACCTGGAGGCAGCGGCTTGGGCGCGCACAGCGGCCGCGGCTCCCCCGCACCTGCGGCCATGGATGAGGAGCGCGCCCTTTACATCGTCCGGGCCGGCGAGGCGGGGGCTATCGAGCGGGTCCTGAGGGATTACAGCGACAAGGTAAAGAGCTCTGAGTCCCGGCGTGCCCTATCGCACCCCCGGGCCGCCCTCGGGGCTTGCACATCTCATCTTTCCCCACCCCCCTCATTCCGGGGATGCGCATTGCTCTCCCCCGAAAACGTTTCCGGCTTGGGCATGCGTGTTTGTGCCCCCAGCCTTTCCTATCCGTGCATCCTGCATCCCCCTCCCCCTACTCTAGCGCCCACTCCTCTGATTCCTGGCCCAGCCGCCTATCCTACGGTCCTCAACCCAAGCGTGCAAGTCACACCCCCAGAATCCGTAGATGTGCCTCTGTGCCCCACTCTTGGATGCATAAATGCTTGCGAGGCTTCCTCACCTGTATAGCAGAAGAATACCTGCTTTGCAAAAACACAGCCGTTGACATGCATTAAAAACTTATCAGCTACGATGTCATTTTTTTGTATACCTGTACCACTGCACACTTTTCAAGGCGTTGATGTGTCATATGTGGTCTCATTTGATCCTCAGAGTGTTTATAGGGTAGATAGTATCATTCCATTTTATAGATGAGGAAACCGAGATGCAAAGACGCCCAAGGTCATAGACATATATTGAAAGTGGGTGGAGAATCTAATTCCTAATGATACCTATTATTTGTATCGCATTAACGGCTTTTCTATTCATTATCTCGTTTAATCTTGACAGCAGCCCTGCAAGGTATTAATCTGTGTTTTGCAATTGAGACTCTAGCTGCGTTAAGTAACTTGCCCAAGGTCACACTTGGAAGCCAGGATTCCACCCTAGGTCTTCAAACTATCCATTCATTGTGCTTTCTACTTTCCAGTTCTGCAGTGAAATGGTATCTTGTTATAAACCCCAGTCACTTTTCTGAATCTCTCTCCAAGAACCGTTAGCTCTCCATTACTTTTCCTTCCAGGAATTTTATGTGTTCACTTCAAAAGGTAACATACCACACCGTTAGTCTGTTTAGAAAACTACAGAATGACTGACTACTCCCTTCTGTGAAAACACACCCAACACTCAAGTCACACCCTAGACATAACATCTTTTTTCCTTTCACTTCCCTGCGTTCATGATCTCCTCATCTGTCTGTTCTGTGCCCACCACTGCACTTGCATGTACTTTGCATTATTGAGCTGCTAGTATGCCATTTCTGCCCCTGGTAGAAAAGATCCAAAAATAAGACAAGTCCCTTGTTAGTGAAGAACATTTGTTCTCATTTAATCCTCCCAAAATCCTGTGAGCAGAGTGGTAACATTCCTCATTTCACGAATGATAAGATTTAGGAGTCCCAATTCCACCCAGCCAGTGAAAGGTATACCTAAGGTTTGAATCTAATTTTCCCAGTCCAAGTCCAGTGCTCTTTATGCTATGCTGCTTTTTTTGGAAGATGCATGGGCTGTGTTCTATTCACATCTTTGCCCTGTTACTTTCTGACATGCTTTACTGTTAAGTTTATCTGTGTAATTTAGGAGAAACTCATTTACTAAGTAGGTGTACATATTGCATAGATTATATTCTTTAAACTTTATTACTGCTTTCCAGAAAAGATATGAGGCAGCTAAAAACTTATTTTCAAAAGAAAGAAGTGTCATAGAAAACTTGGCCTTCATATTTGAACTAACTGCTATTTAGTACTTACTATATGCCAGATACCCAGCAATAAATAGGAACTTTCTTCTACAGGGGAGGGAGGAGGAAAAACCTTCAACTGGATCTTATTACCTCTTTCAGTATTTCTATTTTCTTTCGTGGCTAAAATAATTAGATCCTCTATTTTCTTCCTCCAGTTTGTCTCTTCATTTCCTTGATCTCCCTTTAGGTTGATTTCCACTTACCACTCCTGGCCAAGTATTGTTAGAGCCTAAGTTCTAGATATCACCAGATCCCCCTTTTCATATTGAGAATATTTTCCAGTTTTTTGTGCCCATTCTTTATTAAGATGATATCCTGAAGTGCTTCAGAGGTTCGAGACACTTACACTTTTTGGTCAAGCCAAGCCTGAGAATGTTCTGACTTGATGTAAAGGGGGTCAGCTAGCTCTGTCAGAAGAAAGTGCTCATGTTTGATGTTGATTGTAGTAGGATCAGTATAGTAGGGCTGATTATAGTACAAAGAGAATAGTTGAGCTTCATGTTGCATTGAAGCTCTGCACCTCAAAGGGAGAGACTTTGGGGGGAGACGAATAGAAAGGAAATATGATACCAGTGTTCAGGCAATAAGAATAGAGGAGTGGAAATAAACTGCCCAGTTTTACGTTATATGGAGTCTGAAACTCTGAAAAAGTAGCTGGATAGCATGTGCTTATTTTCTTATCTGGAAAAATGGATTTGAGAAATATTTTAGAAAAAGGTGATTATGGGGTATTGAAGAGTCCAAACAAAAGAAGAATGAATGAGGTAAAAAATAGTAATTTGTTCACTGTTTGGAAGAGGAGAAGGGAGGTTCTTTATGTTACCTTATTTCTCTAATAAAGTCAGTCCTCTCAATTATAGTAGAAGGAAGGTAGGATCATCAGATAAACCTTAGTTCTAATCCCAGTTCTACCATTAATTAGCTTCATGACTATGGATAAGTTATTTTAAGCCTTATCTATAAAATAGGGATAATACCACTATTCTCTTAATTTATTGTAAGAATTAAGTTAAATTAAATATAATCCCAAACATTGAGTACACTGCACCTAGAAGGTACTCACTCAGTAAGTTATGAGTATAATGATCAAGGTTTTTCAAAAAGTTGTATGGCCAGAGTACAGGCTCTGGAGCCAGACTGCCTGGATGCTGATCCTCAGTTTATAATCTGTGTAATCTTGGACAGTTGTTTAGTTTTGCTGTGCCTTAGTTTCCTCATCTATCAAATGAGGATAATAGTATCTATATCACAGGGTTGTCAGAATTAGATGAGTTATATGTGGAAAGCACTTAGAATAGTGACTGCCACTGAAGAACTGTTAGCTTTGGGTAACAAAGGTAGAAACCAAACATGGTACTCAATTGACATAACAGAATAAGAAATTAGAGGATCTACTCCATTCTTCCCTTTTTCCTTAACCCTTGCACCTTCTAATGGGTATCTTTAGCATGGCATATCTTGTACTATGTGCAGAGCAGCAGTTGCCTAACTGATTCTAGGAAACATCACATTTCAGCTGTGTTACAGAGACTCATTTCAAAGTGTTCTTGCTTCATTCACTGACCCTTGTCATCTTGGGGAGAGGGAAGATCTCTATCCCACAAAGAATGGAACTTGTCTTTCCATCAAGAGCATAATGCAAGTTGACTTGAATTAGTTAAAAAAAAAAATTTAAGTAGGAGAGGTTATTTTTCACTCCTCTGAGTTCACCTGTTAACATTTATTAAGCACCTACCACGTACTCCATATTTTCCTAAGAATTTTCATAAGTCATCACATATAACCTTATATTAAAAATTATAAGAATAGATGGAAGTATGCTCTCTTTTGTTGAATAGGAGATTGAGATTCAGAGAGAGAGAGAGTGACTGTATACACACTCAAGAGCATATAACTAGTAAGTAAGTGGCAGACCTGGTCTTCAATTCCATATCCAGAACTCCTTATAGGACCATGTTGCCTTTTCCCAGTTGATTCTGTGGTTTTGAACACAGTATACTACATCCTTTGCTACTGTTGAGCCCTAATCACTTCCACTTTAGTTATGGAATGAGCTGTTCATTTTGGGAAGTATATATTGCTCTAATTTAGACTATCCAAGCTTTTGGTCCTCTTCATGACCTGTTCTGATAACAGGGTTAGTAGCAAGATTGGTTGCCATCATTATCATGAATACCAACAAAAAACAGTGAGCAAGGCCCACAAGGTGCAAGGAGTGTCCCGATTCCTTGAATCACCTGATTTGGGGAGAGGATGCTAGACATTGAACCCAGGGTCTTGCATATGCTAAGTACACATTCTACCACTGAGCTAAAGCCCTGCTCCCCCACGCCAGAATCACAGAATATTTTAAGGAGAAAGAACCTCAAAAATAATTGGGTTCAAACTCTTCATTTAATAGATCCAGAAACTGACCTAGAGTAATCAGCTATGATAACTGAAGAGGTGGTTTGGCACCTGTAGAAACTACCAGGATTCCATTTTGGAAATATGGCAAGTTTATGACCAAATGAAGGGTAAAATCTATTTAAGGTACTGTCAGGTAGTTATCATAGGAGAGAGGACTATACTGATAGCAGTAAGATCTTCATTTATGTGCTCCAAGAATCTGATTGATAGATACCTTGTAGTGGGATGTGTCTAGAAATAGAGCCTCTGTATTTGAGTGTGGTGTTTAAATATCTAGGACCATATAGGAGACTTTTTGATTTCCATTTTAGAGGTTGAGCTCTGACTCTTTGAGTTCACCCTGAGCTTTTGCACAGGCACATGTTTAATGGGCTGTTCCTTTGTTATATCTTGTTTTTATTTTCAGATTGTGTTATATAATCTGTTACTTGTTTTTAGTTCTGTCAGTAAACTGTTCATGAAATGCAGTGCAACCCACACCACCCCAAGTAAGTTTATTCCCTGTATTAGTACTGTTTGAGTATATCTTCCAAAATCTGTGAAATAACATGTAGTTCTCTAGTAGGTTGGTATTTGACCACACACCACAGCAGAGGCCATGCAATAACAGTAGTGGCCATTTAATGAACACCTACTATGTGTGAGGTACTGTAACATAAAGATAAGGAAAATCTGATAGGTCATAAAGTTGAATAACTTCATCAGGGTTGCACTTAGTAACCAGCATGACTGTGCTCAAATTCAAGGTTGTCTGATGCCTGAGCTTTTTAGAGCCTACTCATAGGGTACAAAACCTACAGTCAGGAGTCCTCATAATGAATCTGGTGTGTCATTGAGTTGTTCTAGCTTGCTTGGTCTCTTAAGTTGAACAGTGGTTTTACTCTTTAATTTATATTGACATGTTGCTCCTGTTCCTCTGGAAATTAAGTGTTTAAAGAAGGTGAGGTATGAGCTTTAGAAAGGGAACAAATAAGGGATAGGTGTTCTTAGTATGTTAGATGTGGTCTAACTTAGATAAAAGCAGCTAGCCTTAAAGAAGTAAACATATATTGGTTGAGCTAGATGGTTGAGCTTCTGAGTAGATAAGTACATTCAGACTTCAAATTGTAATGCCTCATTTACCAGTATATTTTCTAATTAAAGTCTTCATGCTGGTTAGATAGGGTTTTGAAAGATTTTTTTAATGTTGTCGTTTTATTACACTATCAGCCTTGCATTTAAAAATTAGCCCTTGGTACTATTCTAAATTATTACCTAAAAAGATTAATTATGTAGGAAATATTTAAAAGATATTTTGTAACTTAATGAATTTCTCTTCAAAAGACCATTACTTTTTGCGATTTTCCTGTCCTCTCCCCATAAATGCCAAATAAAGTTTAGGAGATTCATTATATATTAATAACTAGGCACATTTATTCCAGATAATGTACAGAATTAATATTTTATGTAGAATGGCAAAAAGTAATCTTCCTTGTTTTCTGGTAGTTACTCAGGTTTATTTGTGTTGAACCATTACTGAGCATCTTTTTATGACTTTGGCCTGATGTCTGGTGCTTCCTTATCTTTTTTTTTTTTTGCTATAAATTCCTAAGGATAGCCCTCAGATTTACATCCTGTTCTTCCTTCCTTTCTTGTTCATTCATTCATTCTTTATCATTTATTTTAAAATTTTGTATTATAAAAATAATATACCAACAATGAGTCATCATTTTTAAAATTCTTAATAGCATTTTATCAGATGGATAGGATATGTTTAATAATATATTATTAATGCACAACGTTTTATCAGTCTTTTGTTGAATATTCAGCTTGCCTCTTTTCTTTTACCATATTAAATAACACTGTAGTGAATATGCTTACATACATAATTTTTCTCTCCTTTTGGATGATTTCACTAAGATAAATTCCTAGGAGTAGGAGATCTGGGGCAAAGAGGATAAATATTTTTATGGCTTCTAATATGTGTTAGTTACCAAATCATTTTCCCTTTTAAGGTTTGTGTCAGTTTACACTGCCTCTGGCAATATCATGCCTGGATTGTAGCTGCCTATTCCTCACATGTGTTTATGTCATTGCTCTTGCTCCTTTGAGAACAAAATATTCTTCCAGAATGCTGCTTCATAACCTCCCTCATAGTCCTCCCATAGTTGCCTGTTGCTTATCTGCCATTTCAGGTACAAATTTTTAAATGCATGCCCTTACCACTTGACTTCACCCATTAAAATTGTTTAGTATCCACATTTCTGAGATTTCCTTAAATAGTCCTCATGTCTTACCTCTTGTCTTTCCTGTAACTTATTTCTTACACTCAGAACTGTTTCCTTACCATCATTTCTCCATCTCATTTAATTTCAAAAAATGCTGTTTCTACAAAGCTGTTCACACAGAACCACCTGTAATGATGCTATCTTTAGTACTTAATGTGCCTAATTCCTGATGGGTTGCCAATACACATTTGTCAATGTGGTCAGTGAAAGAAATAGAAAGGAAATAGAGTGATGTTCAGTGTAGTGTTTTTTGTTGTTGTTTTTTAAAGGTGGGCTTAAGATTCATATAAACACTTGGTTCTCTTTTTTTGCTGTATTAGGGTTTGAACTGAGAACTTCATGCTTGCAAGATCAGGGCTCTAATACTCGTTCCCCCACTCCCTCCAGTCCTTTTGCTTTCAGTTTGTTTTTCAGATAGGGTTTGGTACACTAACTTTGCCTAGACTGGCCTGCAACAGTGATCCTTGTATCTCTCCTGAGTAGCTGGGATTACAGGTGTGTGCTACCAAACCCAGTGAGCACTTGGTTCTCTTGACTAAAACTTGAAAGGCTGAGGAACTATGGGCTCTGTTTTGAGTTCCACTCCTCTTTTCTTTTTTTTCAAGATGGGTACCACCTCTCCTTATGTGCAAGACAACTTATCCTATCATTTATTCTTCTCTGCTTCAGCTACAAAGTAGAAAATATGTTACCAATCATTTCAGGACAGTCACAACACTTTCTTTCCTATTATTTTTCTTCACTATCATTGGTATATTATTATTATAATCCTGATATTTATTATTTACTTATCATTTTCCCCGTCTTCAAATGAGAAGTGCAATCACAGTTTACTTTTCCAAAATCATAGCTAGTAAGTGATGGAGCCATGATTTAAACCAACAATTACTTTTCTAAATACCAAATATTTATCTGCAATTCTCTGATGGTTTCTTTTGACATATAAAAAAGAAAATATAAACTCATTAACGTTGGAAGGCCCTTCCACATCTCTACCCAGTCTACTTTTCCATTCTCGTCTTCCTCTGTGTCCCCATCCGCTAATATGTATCCAGTGTTTTAGTCTCACAGAGTTGCTTGTTTCATGATTATATATACAGTTACACACATTTGAGCCTTTGTTTTTGTCCCTAGAATGCTTTCCGTTTGCCTTCTGGCAAACTCCTACTTATCCCTCAAAGACTAGCTCAAATGTTTTATATTCTTTGCTGTATATTCCAGATTTTCCTGTGCGGTTAGTGGCTTGGTTCTCTGTACTCCTTTGTATATATTTCTCCTGCAAGTAATCATTTCCTTCCATGCCTCTCTCTTACTTTAATAAGAATATTGACATATGGGAAAGCAATATTTTTATAGGAAAGATTATTTGATGTATTTTGTTTTAAAAAAACAGTCAGAATTTTAAATCTGTGATTTTAAAATGACGATGTTTCCCTTTTTCTCCTTCCTCAGCATAGGGCTACATTCAAATTTGAATCAACAGATGAAGATAAAAGAAAGGTAAGCCTTGATGTTACTCTGTGTATGTGTGTGTGTGTGTTTATTTCATTGCTGGACTTTTTAAGCAGTGGATTTTTTTTCATCTGATAATGGTTAAGTAGTTTTTGGTTTTTCTTCAGTTTGTTTTTTAGGAGCCTTGAGAAGAGAGGTACCAGGTTTAGTATGGGTTACACACAATTTCCTCCTGATCCATCCCCACAGAACCTTAGATTTGCATAAATTACAGGGTCCACAGGGGACTCTCCTCAGACTTTATCATTGCCAAAAGGTTGCCTTTTCTGGTGTGAGGACTCCAGGTTGTCCAGATGCCTTGCTGATGTAAAACTTGGCATGATAAATTTTAGGAAAGCAGCTGTTCATCATCCTCTCCAACAATCTCATATCCTTTTTATGCTGCAATTATTTATGTTATTAAGCAGTTGTCTGGGTCACTAGTGTCATGGGCATAGGAAAAAATGGAGTCAAGAGACTCACCCTTAGAGGGGTTACTACAAGAGAGGGTACATCATAAATATGAGCACTTAATGTCTACTTGCCTATTGGGGTTGCCTGTGGTTGCTTGGCATGATTGGTTAAAGCATCATGCTAATGAAGATAAACTCACCAATTTTGCCTTACATTTTGCTGGGCTCCATACATCTATCCCAGCCTTACAAATGCCAAGATCAGATAAGAGAGCGTATCTGAATCAGTATAAATCTATCACTGTAGCTGGAAAAAAAAATGGTTCTAGTACTTTGCTGTAGTGGATTGATAACACCTGGAAATAATCTGTTCATTCACCTCTGTCACTACATCTAATATCTATTCTTGTCTTATTTTTATTTCTTAATATTTCTTCAGTCTATTCTTCCTTAACTCCTTTCACAATTCAAGCCTTCATCTGGATTATTGCATCAGTTTTCTAACTCTTCTTTCATTTTCCAGTTACATGCCCTTTCAGTTGATAGTCTATAAATCAAAAACAGCATTCTGAGCATGTCCTTCTTGAGCACTTTAGGGACTTTCTTTGCCTGCAGAATAAAGTTTATGCTTCTAAATGTGACATACGAGGTGTTCTGCTCTCCTTGTACTTTGCAGCCTATTTCTTCTCTTTCGCCTGTATTTTGTGTTCTAGCTAAATAAAATGTTTATAGTTACACATACATACATACCCCTTTTGTCTCTTCCTACTTTTGCATCTATTGTTTTCAACCTACAATGCCTTCTCCTTCTATACCTCTTCTCCTTTTCACCTGGTTAATTCCTCCTCAGGCATACCTGCTTCAGCAATACTTCTTTAGCAATCCAAAGTTAGGGTGAAGTTCTCTTTTTCAGTGTTACCATAATATTCTGTGTAAGTCTCTAACAGAGACTTAAAGCTTATTTCATAATTTATTTCTGTGTCTGAATGTGGACCTGAGGACTCCTGATGACAGGCACTGTTATTTATTTTTATATCTTTGACATCTGGAGTGTTCACATATATACTCAAAAAGTATTTATGGAATGAATAACCATGGAGTATAAACTTTGGAGATTTAAGGGGACTTTCTTTTGGATTTGAACAATGTAAATAAAATAAACAATACCTTTTAGAATAGAGATTCTCAATCAGGAATGTGCTCTTTGGGTAGCTCCCAAAAGGCCTGCTCCCTTAATCAGCTGAGTTACAAGCCCAATCCCTTAATCTACTGAATTAGAATTTGGGAATGGGTCCCAAGCATATGTATTTTTAGTGATGGTCTTTAGTGGGAATGCATAGTGGCACAATCCCTATAAAGGAAAAACTGGCAGCATCTATTAAAATTACAGATGCCTTTAACCAAATAATACCACTTTTAGAAATCTGTTTTGTGTATAGATTGAACCCAGGTAAATAAAGTTATTTATTGAAATGTTATACATAAATAACAAGAAATTGGAAACAACTAAGTTGTATTTGAGGAGTATCTGAAGAAACCATGGCACATTTACATAGTGGAGCACTGCTATATGTTTAGTTGAGAGATTCTATACTATACATCTGTAAGATTCATGGTGCCTTAGGAATCTGACTTTGGAAACTTTGATAGTCCTTTTACCGACCAAAATAAGTACATTAAGAGAGAGATTTCCTCATCAAATATAAATTTTAGTTGGGGGGAGAAAGGTCCCACATAGTTATTAATAAAGCATGTTGTTGATTTCTTATAGGGTAGTAGAAAAACCTTACTTTTTCTAAGTCATCTTATCCCCTATGTGGGGTCAGTTTCAGAATAGCCTTCCTCCAGGACAACAAAATCCCCACCATGTTCCTTATATAAAATAATGTACTATTTGCCTATGAAATTAGGATCCTAGTACCTTTTTATCTCTTATTTCATACCTTCAGATACCATTTAGGCAACTGGAATTAAACTGGAAGATAAAAAGGACATTAGCAACTGGAGTGCTTACATTTTTCTCAAGTAAAATACATAACCTGCACACATCTTCCCATATGCTTTAAACCATCTTTAGAGTTCTTACAATGCCTAATACAATGTTAATGCTATGTAAATAGTTGTTATTTAGTATTGTTTAGATAATAATGAAAAACAGCTATATCCATATAGCTGTTATTTTTTTATTTTTGATCTCTACATTGCTGAATTCATAGGCACAGAGCTTGTCCTTGGCTACTTTTAGATCTCTGGAGAGAGTAACTTCTGTACTAGTGTTTATTTCAGTTACAGTGTATAGATTTCTGGGAGTTCTGTTATAAACAAGTGTCATTAGGGACCTAGCTAGGTAATCTTCATTAATGGAAAAATGTTGGCAAACAAATCAGTTTTAGTCTCTGAGGGTTAAAACCATTAGTGACTTTTTCATGCCTGAGGCTCTTTTTAAGACTTTGACATCAAAAACATTGGACAAGTCAAAGGAACTACATCCTAACAGCATTTTAAGTTCTCAGTGTAGAGACATAGAATAGTAGGCACTTCTCTATATTAAAACAAATCTGAAAATAAAAGGAATTCAAATTACTGCACAGTTATTTTTGCTGCTTTTGTTCTCTTTCTTTCCTAAATGTGTTTCTGGAGTCTTCTGCCAGCAGCTACTCAGTAACAGCAGGAACTTCTTTCAATATAGTATAGTGCTGTCTCTTTGAAAAACACGGTAATATCTTTCTTATGTAAAACTTCTTTGAGACAACTTAGAGGTAGTGTAAGGGAAGAGTGCCCTTCAAAAAATATAACTTGACTATATTGACTTTTTCAGGATAAGGTTATAAGTGAATGATCCTTGGACCCAATTCCTGATACTTACACAGTGTTTTGCATTTTTACAAAGATTTGCTTCTTACCACTAACTCTTAAGTATGGTGAGAATATCACCATACTTATTTTATGGATAAGAAAACTGAGGCTTACATGAACAGTAACTTGCTTATACTGATATCCATTGTAAACGGTAGAGCCTCAAATAGAAAACAGATTTTCTGACTATTATGTGCAGCTCTTTTACCACTTACTGCTCTATAGCTCCGTCTTGTTACCATTTAAGGTATATTTCTAAAGACTTGAAATTATAATCGAGTACCTTGTTTTATCTATTATTTCATACCTTGAAACACCATTTAGCACAGCTAGACTTAAATTGGAAGATAGCAAAGGAAATTAGCAAGTGGGAGTGCTTAAATTTTTCTAGGGAAGTGAAGTCAGATACGATTCTAATGTTTGTGCATGTAATGCAAGTAATTGCAGGTATATGTGGATCATTATGTATTTGTATATAAGCACGTGTGCTTATATACATTTGCTTTACATTCCATAACTAAATTAGTAGGCTGTTATTACCTGCAGCACATAAACAAATGTATCATGCAAATAGGTAGGCTGGAGAGAGGGAAATGATAAATAATCGGAAAACTCACATCTTGAGGGAAAGAAAACTCTTATATTTTTTAAAAGTAAAACTGATCTCAAACCCAATAAAGAATACTTACTAATTATAGTAAAAGTTAATAAAAAAAAGTCATGAAATCAGTAGAATAATTGCAACTCACTCACCTATAAGATAAAAATATACCTTACTATATGTGAGAAAACTCAAAAGAGTAAAGTTTAAAATACCTAAGTTTCAAACATTACTTGGATTTCACTACTTCAGATTCATGAAGGTAAGCCCATATTTCTGTTAAGGCATAAGGTAATTGCTAGTTTGAGATTGTGAGCCCTTCAAGAGGACAAGAACTCTGGATTCCTTATCTTTGTATTTTCAACTCCTACCACTCTGTGGAACAGAATAGGCATCTACAATAAATAGCTATCAAATGAATGAAAAGAACTTGGAGATTTGAGTGGAGGCTAGAATTCCTGTGATTGATATAGTTTGGTTTTGTATGTTACATTTTTTTCACTGCACAACAGAATCAAAGCACATCTCATAATGTTCACTAAGAAAGCGGAATACAAAAGTATACGTAGAATGTGATCACAACTGTGTAAAACTAATAAAAATTATCCAAAGAAAAATGGCTACAGTGAAATTCACTAAATGGTGCTACCTGAATATTATTACTGTCGATTGTATTTTCTTTCTGTTTTCTATATTTTAAACTTTGCTATTATAATAATTACATTGATTTAAGAGTAATTACATAATGACATACTAGTTTATAATAGTATGATTAGAGGTATAAGCAAAGAGCAATACTGTCTTTTTTTTAAAGTTATGTACTTTAACTGAGCCTTCTCAGTTGCCTTACATATTTCCTTTGGGGAAACATGAAAAAATGTTATTTACGTTTAAAGTAGTATTTGTAGAACCAGTTTATGGAGTGAAACAAATGTATGTGAACACAAAGGTCCATTATGATATTTCAGATTTTCTTTTTTTTACTTTTCCCCCCAGACTTGGATATATATGGCATATTAGAGATTCTGTAGTCCATAGTATTTTTTTCAAAAACTCCTATATGCCAGGCTGTGTATTAGGTCTACATTCCTAAATTGGCTGTTTGCCTATGGTATTTGGCTTGGCACTTTATCTGTTGA